TTTTAAAATTTTATTTTTATTTTTCTACAAATCCAAATCACTTGAAATTTAACATGTGTGTTCTTCCTCATCAATGCTACACTTAAATAAAAAATATAAAAAAAATTGTCCGCGAAAATAAAATGATAAAATACCCCCTCGAAACTTTTCGGGGGTATTTTGGTCAATTTATTTCATGTAAAATATTTTTTTAATATTTTTCGAAGATTCACCTGTTGTTTATGAACACACACCTCAAATTTCAAGTGATTTAGATTTGTAGAAAATAAAATAAAATTCAAATAGTATTGGACATCCGTGATCGTCAGATCGGCCTAGATTCAATCTGGGCCGTTGGGCTCATATGTTCATATGAGCTAGAGGGCTAACCCCAGCTTTTTCCTATATATATATATATGCTTGTTCTATGTCTTGGATCTGGGATTTGGAATTTGTAATACTTTTTCTCATGAGACCCCAAACTTCATGGTTCCTTTAGATCTATACTCAGATTCATCCAAAGTATGATTTTAACTTTGTTAACAAGTAAGGAATCTTATGGAAATTATTGCATTTTAATGATGACATATAATTTCTTGCTAGGTGAACATTTTGGAAGTAATGGAGGGAGATACAATTATAATGGGTTCAGATGGATTATTTGACAATGTTTTTGACCAGGAAATCATCTCTACAGTCTCTGAATTTGATGGTGCATCTGAAATTGGTAAGTTCCTACTGAATTCTGTTCTACTGAAGTTTCTAAATTCTGAAATTATCTCTACAGACGTTTGGAAATTTCGTTACAGATCTTATTTAATGGAGAAACATTTGATCTTTTCATGAAAGTGTTTCTTTTGTTTATGAATCCATCACTTATTAAAAGAAATTCTGAGCCTTTAAATTAGCAAAGGCTCTAGCCAACTTAGCATGCAAGCATTCAGGAGACAAGGACTTTGAGTCCCCCTATTCCTTGGAGGCTAGAAGTCAGGTATGACAAAAACGTTTTGCCTTTCGTTTTCTTTCAACTAGCAACGTTAGCTCACAATATAAGATCTGCACATAGTATAGATCTCAATATGTTTACATACAGGGGTATGATGTCCCACTGTGGAAGAAAATTCTCGGCATGAAACTAACAGGTATTCTTCAATCACTTACCCTTCCTCACGGCCCTCTTCTTCCCCGCTTCTATCTTCGTTTCCTTCCTTTCTTCATAGTTGTACAGATGGAACTAAACACATTTCATTGAAACCTGCAGGGGGCAAGCCAGATGATATCACTGTGATTGTGGCCCGAGTGGTAACACTATGAATCATCTTACCTATTCGAATTTAGCAATAATATTATAGTAAACTACTACTACTCTATTTTCGTTTTCATCTGTCACTGTGGTTTCTTAGAATGAGCTATTTGTCAAGGTCCAGTTTTCTTTCTCTAGGTTAGAGAAGGCTGAGTCTTGTGCAGAGAAGGGGTTTCCTTTCATGAAAGTTTGTGGCCTTCTTGCTACTATAATGGGTATGGATACCTTGACCATCTATATGACTTCTATGCATGTTCTTTGAAGTTGAGAGAGAGAGAGAGAGAGATGCTGGCAGTGGCTGATGACTTCTGCAAATGTGATGAACAACATTCATCGTAACCGGCATCCATCAGGCCACTCTATGATGTAGCTTTGGAACCCATATTTCTGTTCTCCTATAACTTATCAAATTCATTGCATTATTTTCTTTCTATTGCAATATTTAACATGAAAATTTATGAATATGGCGATTACCAATTGATTAACTAGTAACAGAATTTACACAGCAGGTTATGTATTTCATGTCCATAATTCTTTGGTGTAATAAAACAATACAACTCAATGTGCCCCTCCAAACTTAATGTGATGGACGTTATATAAGGGGTTCGTTCTCTGCCATTAACTTATTTTCTCAATAACTAAATGCATAATCCATGGGTCCAAACAAAGGTAGGAGTCATTTGAGATTTGCTTCAATTATGAAACATAATTGAGTGTCCTTTTCTTATGAAGTAAATCTCAATAGAATTTATATACAACTGATAAACTACTTCAAAAAAAGAAAAAGGAAAATAAACAATAAATGGCTCTAGCTGCTAGCAAATCTCCAGGTATAAGTAACCGACTATAACAAAATACCTTACCAGTTTTAATAGTCTTGCTACTCATTGACTTCATGTTTGATGATTACAGATTGCGCTTTAAAACGCTTCATGCAAGTAGTTTTGTGAATTTCAAGCGTAAACATTATTATATTATTATAATTATTATGTTATTATATTATATTATTATTTTTTCAAAAATATTATTATAATATTATAGGGATTGCATGCAATGAGACTATTTTATCAAACAAAGAGGTCACAATTACATACAACTATCTTTACAACCGTTCGATGCGAAATTTGATAGCTTGGGTGTGCTGCAAAGTTCGAAAAATTTTTTTGAAGTTTGAGCTTGGTCGATGGAGTGAATGTAGCCATATAATTTTACATCCAATGGTTAAGTTTAATTATGATCATCTTGTACCAAAGACAAATGATCACATTATGTAACAAAATTAACTTCAAAATGGGTATAAACAAAACAATGCACAATCAGAATTTTGTTTGTAATTTTTTACTCAGAAAGAACGAGGCTCATACTTACTAGGTAGAGAACTTAAGGCAGGCTTTCATTGTCATAGAAAAGAGAATTAAAAAGGGGTAATATCTTGATACACCTTAATTTGGTATATGATTTTGACAAATTTGAATTCTAGCAGCATCAATTTTCCCAAAGTCTTTATACTAACCCCCTAAACCGATTGAATTTTATTTTATTACATATTTACATCTCAAATAAATTTCAAAATGACAGCCTTTCTTTTTCAGTCTTGCTTTCCTCTTTTCACTCTTCGTCACTGTCTTTCTCCTCTCCTGTCACTCTTTTGCATACTCTCTCTCCCTTTCTCTCTCTGTCCCCTTGAACCTCTCTGGAAATCCTACAGCCGAAAGGCTCTGGGTCTCTCTCCCATTACCAACACAGCCAAAGGGAAAATTCATCTTACTCTCTTTCCACCCAAGGAAAATTACCAAACCAAATGGATCGTAACCTTTCAAGAATGATATCCAAAAAGGAACACAAAATCGGTTTTTTTGAAAAAGTATATAATGAGATGATTAACTTTCGTACAAGGTGATGACAATTAATCTTGACCATTGGATGTGAAATTGGGTAGCTGCATTTATTTTATTGACCAAGCTCAAAGTTCAAAAGGATTTTTTTCAAACTTTGTGACACACCCAAGCTATCAGATTTCATATCGGATAGTTGTAGGTACTTATGACCTCCCTGTGTTGAAGGTAAATAGTTTTATTGTACACAATCTTTTTTTTTTTTTTTAAGGCAAGTAGCAATCTCTAGCAACAGGAAATGTCCTTGAAATAGCAAGAACATGAGAGTGGGGTTTGGCCGTGGTGCTGTGTCAATAATGGGAGTGCCCAGCCCAAGTTTTCCTTGGTTGAGACAAACCCAGTTAGGTATTAGGAAGAGGTCACAAATTCACAGGCTTTCCAGCTCTATAGGACCCCAACCCAAAATAACCCACCAGCTCTACGAGACTGTAAAAGACGTAGGTCTTTTTTCCTTGTTTGGTAGCAACAAAAATTTCATATCCCTCACTCAGCTCACACACACGACACCAAATACGAGATTTGTTAGCAATGAAACATTGAAGGACTGTGCGGCATGCCATTTCCTCCATTGTAACAAATTTTATCATTTCTAATTGTATTGTTGAAATTTCTAATATTGTTCATTCCATTTTCCTTTCATTTAAGGGGGTGGCGTTTTAGTTGAGTGTTGTCAAATTCTCTTCGCTTAGGTCGAAAAAGCTAAAGCCTTCGGATTTTAAGCTTAGACAGATCCAAAGCGAAGTCTGGTGATGCTGCTTCAACCAGATTCAGGTCGCTTCTTTCAAATTTGGGTATGCTTCGGGCCAATTCGGCCGAAGCTTCGCCTAAACAAATAAATATCTATATAAAAATATTTTTTTATTTTTTATTTTTTTTAAATTTTAAATTTTCATTATTTTCATATATAAATATATAATTTATTTATATTAAATTAAAAAAAGGTCAGAAGGTCTTCCCTCGAATCGACTAAAACACCAAATTGCTTCATTTTTCTTACGAAACCGAAGAAGACTTTGAAGCGAATCCGACAACTGCACTCTAAACTTCTTATTCCGATGAATTAAACAATTGAGTCCCAACTCCTCACTCCCTTGCAAAGTACCATTCTCTCTCCAACGAATTGGTGAATGATTTCCCAAGAGAGAGAGATCTAGAGCCCTTTGACTGCTGGATTTAGAGAGAGGGGATTTAGAGAGAGAGGGTTTGGAGGAGAGTGTGCATGATGTTAGGATATGGATATCTCGGGTTCATATTGATATATATCATTATGGATGTATGGGTATATATCTCTTGATAAGATTAAGTATTTAGAAGATAAGAAGAGACCAAGACATAGTTACTTGATCATCAAGTTAGTTTGGTGATAAGACCATTTACTTCTATTTTCAAGAATCATAGCATATTAAATAGAATCATACCATATTTATCTCATGTAATTGTGTGGTTATCATCTATATATATAGAGGTGCTTAATGATGTAGACATCCATAAAAAAATAGTAAAAATGTAACCCGTTGGGCTTTAGATCCGTGGACTTAAGGCTTCGGCCTGAACCACATAAATGTTGTATTCTCTCTTCTTCTCTCTCCATTTTCCATTCAATGTTTGTTCATGTATGTTCTTAGAAATTCTAACATCTATTCTCACAAATTCTAAATTCTCTCTCCATTCTGCATTCAATGTCTGTGCACATGCTTCAACGAATTCTAATATGGTATTAGTATTGCTCCTCGGCTCAGATCTAAGCTCACCAACCTCAGATCTGAGGTCGAGAAATTTAAGTACCCTCTGGCTGGCTCTACTGTTGGCTCAGATTCATGATCACCCAGTGTCCTGGTCCTAGCCCCTACCAAGGAGTTGGCTAAACAGGTATTTGCAGACTTTTGAGTTTTATGGTGAGTCTGTGGGTAACTTCATGCTGCGCGTATGGTGGAGTCGCATATCGCCCTCGAGGAAATTTCACTTAAAAGGGGTGTTGATATAGTTGTTGGAACACCAGGTCGCATTAAGGATCATACCGAGAAAAACAATATTGATTTGAAGTCTTTGATATTCCGTGTTCTTGATGAGGCTGCTGAATTGCTTAATATGGCATTTGTTGATGATGTTGAAAATACTCTTGAGAGAGTTGAAGATGCAAGGAAGGTCCAGACCCTTCTTTTCTGTGCCACAATGCCTGACTGGGTGAAGAAGAAGGTCCAGACCCTTCTTTTCCACAATGCCTGACTGGGTGAAGAAGATTGCTGCCAGGTTTTTTAAACCCAACAGGAAAGTGGCAGATCTTGTTGGTGATGATAAAATGAAGGCTAGTGCAGGTGTTAGACATATTGTCTTTCTCTCTCTCTCTCTCTCTCTAGAATGTCATGTTTTTGGTTATGGTTAAAAAAAAAAAAAATCTAAAAAACAAAAACAGGTTTGTGTTTTAATTTTTTTATTCTTGGACCCACTTTCATCTCTCAAGCATCGACCTTCTGTTTCCACTTTTGTCTCTCAATCTGATTGTGCCTCTTTGTTCATTTGGCATCGAAACCCAGGTAAACTATTGCGACCGTGCTCCCCTCTGATGTCGGACCTTTGTTAATCCGAATCTGAAACCCTTCTCTAAATTTGCCTCTGAAAATGGCCTCTAAAATCTGGGAGATCGAGTTGGGTTGAGTTGGGATCATCGAAAGATCAAACGGGTAGAATAGCAGGAACTATGGACTTCCTTGTTGCATAAGAGCAGTTCTCCCATCTCATGAGAGAGAATGGAATTAGGGACGGTAGAGCTGGAGCATTAGGGTTTCCCTTCCAGATATGTGAGAGCGAAGGTTTAATAGGCATGGAGAAGGCACTGCCTTGAGAGAGAGAGATGTTTTAGAGAGAGAAAGATATGTCTTTTAGAGAGAAAAAGTCGTAGAATCTTATGTTAGTTTGAGATATTCTTGCAAAGGTCGGTACTCAAGCTTGAAACGATACTGAGGCCCGAAATATCACGATGTTGCCCGTGATTGCCTCCTACTGAGATCACAGTAGCGAGAGAGAGAGAGAGAGAGAGAGAGAGAGAGTTGCAGCGCCCCAGAGATCACCGTATAGAGAGAGTTCTAAGTGCATCCTGTTCGATGATCGAATCTTTCGATCTTGGTTGATGAGCAAGTTTTTCGTTACTTGATCATGTTTGATGATTGAGTTTTTCGTTACTCAATCCTAATGTATGATGGAGTTTCTCGGTACTCCATCATGTGTGATGATCGAGGTTACTCGATCTTATGTGATGATCAGGTTTACACGATTATGTTTGCTCCGAATGCCTATGTTTAATGGTTGAGTTTTCTGTTACCCAATCATGTTGCCTGTGAGATGATCAATTTTTTTTCCGTTATTCGATCATGTTTATTGATCGAGCTTTTCGTTACTCAATCTCAGATGTTCCTGAGGCTTGTTAACAATCTGTGCTTGTTGTTCAAGCAAACTGAAGATCACTACTCGTTTTTGGCAACTTAGTATTGTCCAAACTCCAACTGCTTTGGGTCAAGGCATCTGGAGTTTGAGGGGGAGTGTTAGGATATGGATATCGCGGGTTAATATTGATATACATCATTATG